AGTTTATCATAAGAGATTAATTTAACCAGGTTTAGGCAGATAACCTTACTAGTAGTTATTTTTTTTTTATGTAGACTAAATGAAGTATTGCTGTCAGCTAGACAAAATGACAGCCCATACCATATTGGTCAAAACTTTAACATGAACTGAGTGGTGGTGTGAAATCCAGACAATATTGGATCAGCTTCAAGTTTTAACATAAGACTGAAAAATGTGTGAAAATGGTTTGTATCGTTGCAGCATTAGAGAAATCAAGATGCCTTCCTCTTCCCAGATTCCTTTGGCATGCTGGCTTATCGGCGCATCACATTGAAACACTGCTTCCCATACGATTACTGAAGTTAAGCAATGCTGAGCCTGGTCAGTACCTAGCTGGGTGATTTCTTGCAATACTATGGGGTGTAATGGATAATGGCTCAGAATTGTTAATCGGTTCATTATATTCACTTATGCACAAATAACCTTGGAAAAGGTATGAATCCACTTCTTCCTCCCAGCTATGGGTTAATTAGTAAAACTTGTATCATTAAACTATTATCTCCAAAAATAAAAATAAAATTGCATATGAAATACTTAAATTTCAGCATTAAATAACTCATAGAAGCTAAACAAAAACAATGAACCAACCTTTTGTATAGTGTGATTTCAACATGAAAGAGTGGCTGAGCATGACAATGCTGGAACTCCTGAGAGCCACTGTCAATAGATCATCCTGGAGGAGAGTGTTTATTCTATCCTTAGGTCCCCCCCCCAAACTGACAGATACAAGCAATCAAGGGACTGCTGGTGATGGTGGGGGTGGGGGGTTATGGTAGGTAGCTAGCTGACCTGTTGACATCCATTCTCCCTCTCTCTTCCACCAAGAAATTCTGCCTACTATTATTTTGGAATGCAGCTTTAGGGCCCTTACTGAAGAATTGCCTATAGACCACTAAAATCCAGAGATGATACACAACTCAACACAAGAAAACTTGTCTTAAAGAAAAGTGGGGTACAAACTGTTATCATTTTTATTATGAAATCTAAATGTTTTTTTTTTTTTTTTTTTTTTTCATACTGAATCCAGTAAGACTGACATACTTTCTGAAGAGGCAAGTTGATCATTTCATTTTTTTTTTCTTGCTTTTTCAAGGGCTTTTCATTGTTGATCTGAATAAAGCTGAACAGATTTCTATAATAAATAATATTGAGTTTATAGAATTTCTTCCTTACTTCACATTCTTTTGATGTAACCTACATTGACTTGAATAATTCATTTTTCTGTTGCTTTCAGGCTTTTTATTTTCCTCACATACACACATACTTCAGTTTTATGTAAATAGGTAAAACATGCTTGGTGCTGAGTATGACATATGATTTGGAAGATGTCTTATTTTAAATGGATGTCTGAATAGCTTAGTGGATTTGGTTGCATATTAATTGTGAGTTTAATCCCTGTGCCATGTACTACAGACTTAAACTCAATGGAAACAGTATTAAATAAGATAGTGGAGACATTTGTGGAGTAATGGATAGTGTCTCTGATTGAGAAATCTGAGTGCAGTATTTGAATTCAGGTTGGGTTTGTTACATTCATTTGCATACAAATACTGGGTTGAATAGCCTTGGGTGGCAACCTGTCTAAGAGAAGGACAACCCTGAATTCAAAACTTCCAACAAATAACCTCACCTGCAATTTGTCAGGTGTGGTGAGTATGGCTACACCCCTTGAAGACATGGTCAATCAGGGAGGAGTTACTCTAACAAGATTAAAATTTGGATTTGAATTAAATAAGAACAAGATGAGGTATCCCTAGATGATTGAATGATGGGGGAATCTACATCAGCAGGTTAAATAAAGGGTTCAATCTGAAATTAACTAGAGGTTACTTTGATCAATGAAGACCTGAAGAAGGCTGTAGGGTCCAACAGCCAAAACTGTGTGATAATAAGAAAGATATTAGTGCAAATGAAAATGTTGCTCTATTTATTTTGTGTGTGCATGCATGCATTAAACTGGAGTAATAACAAGTGAATTTCTGAAAGACTGAACTTACTACTCACAAATAGCAATCTTTATTGCTCCTCCATTGTGGCCTTGTGCCAAACTAAGCTGTGTGTGTATATATGGATTAATGGATAGCAGCTCAGATTGAGGAATTGGAGAGCCAAGTTCAAATTCTAGTCAAGTTCATTACATTTACTTATGTGCAAATACTATTGGGAAAGGTATGAATCCCTCTTCTCCCCCAGCTATGGATAAATAGCAGGACAGACTGGGTCCTATAGCCTTGTGTGGCAACTAGTCAAGTAGGACAACTCTGTATACAAAAATTAAAGAGGGTCATTTGTGGACATTGTGGCACACTGTGTGGTTGGTTCTACATAAGCCCTCATGACTATATTCAAATATGGTGTGTGGGTAATCTGGCTGTTCACTTCTAAGAATTGAGCTGCTGGACCCTTGTACTTCATAAAAAAGTATGGTAGAATTCTCTCTCTCTCTCTATATATATATATATATATATATATATATATATATATATATATATATATATATATATATATATATATATATATAGTTTTTGGTTTATGATGATACAGCAACTTGATCCTTAGAAACAAACAGCCAAACTACTCACCCATATGATTTGCTTATCATGGTGAAAGCTTCTGTAAAACCAACCACACTTTTTGGAAGAGCTGAATACAAGGGATTTACACACACACACACACACCCACTTCAGGAAAAGAAAAACTTGTCTTGCATAGTTTTATCAAATAGTGATAACACTGTTTATTATAGTATATTTTTTCAACAGATTGTATTACCCTGATGGCTGTAGCATTAACAAGTCCTAAAGGATGTTGTGTATCACAGAAAACCGACTGCATTGGTGGCCCTTAGACAAGAAATTAAAACTGCATGTGCAGCAATCCCATTGGATGCTGTGGACAACGTTGCCCAAGCATTAGTTCACTGTACAAATAAATGTCTGGAAGCTAAAGATGACCATTCTGAGCATCTCCTGTGATTGTAGAATCCAAAGGTAACTTATATTAATCTCATAATGTTTAAATAAATTTAGGATTACAATATCTGTACAAATTTTTCCTTTTCTGAAGTATGTATAGATTTTTTGGCGAACTCTGTATATATGAGCAACAATCATTTTATACAAGTTTCATTAAATATGAATGATAAGGGATATATTTGAGTTTTTTATTTTTCTTGTCTTTTTTTTTTTTTTTTTTTTTTTTGAAAACTGGGTGTTGGTTTTTCCCAAGAGCTTTGGCTAATACCTTAGCTATTTTCAATGTAGCTTTGAGAAGAAGTTATTTTTGTGGTAACAAATGATTCATTTCCTTTTCTATACTGTTGTGTAAAAGGTTTTTTTTTTCTTTTTTTTTTTTTTTTGCTATAGTAATTTCCTTATATATGTGTATGTTTGAATGTGAAATATGTTCAAGATCAAATCATAAAGGGCATGCCCTTAAAAAAAGAAAAACAAACTATTGTGAAACTCTGAATAGATAATATTTGATTAGCAAAGAGAAGCCAATATTGATTATTTTTGAGTAAACTGTTTGTCAATGTTGATTTCGTCCAATATCATTTGCTGTCTTTTTAAGATGATAGAAAATAAATATTGAAGAAATAACATTCCCTATCAATATTGGCATTTTCTTGTAAATTGATGTCTCCAATTTAGAATATTTGATTTACCAAAACCAACACTTGACTTGCCTGCCAAGTGCATTTTCAGGTTGAATATGACTAGGTCATTTACGTCAATACTCCCCATTAGTTCAAGGCCATAATTTATTCCTTATAGCAAACGCTAATATATTTAGCTACTGCAAAAGAACTGCTATTGTCCTACATATATTTAGAATTATTATCTAATGGTGCAACTATAGAGTAATTGTCTGTTCAATCTTATCTCTGTACTCAAGAATGTTATCAGCTTCACAATGTATACCTCATATCATTATTATTATTACTACCATGACAGTTATTAGCTGTAATGATTGTTGTAATAAAACCTGTGAAAATATTAGCAAGAAAAACTCAAGTCTGTCAGCAATGTATCCTACCAATATCTAGTCTTAATATAACTTGGTAAACAGAGGACATTACGGCACAAAGAAAAAAACAGATATTCCCCAGGTCAGCAAGTGAGATGTCTTTGAATAAGATCCTTTGTTGTGTTTTCACTTTTTTCACAATGACCAAATGAGAAGAAACTTCATATCTCCCAATTTGACTCACCAGTCAGGGCCCCCTAACCCTCCGCTGGCATCCCAATTTGTCTGTCTCTACAAAGCTAAAATTGCCATTGAAATTCTATGGATCAGATTAAGAGAAATATAATACCTAAGCATCTTATGGTAATCCCAAAAGAAAATTTTGAATGTTTTGAAAAGTGAAATGGAGATTGAGATAAGTGTGAGAGTTCATAAAAGGAAGAGTACTTTGAAGAGGACTAGGATACCATTGCTTACCTAGAGAAATCGTATCCTAGTCCTTTTTTTTTTTTCCTCTCTCCCCAATAATTTTAAATAGTTAGATTTTTTCTGAGCATGCTTTGTATTCAATATTTATTTGAATAATTCTGCATTATACAAACTAGTGCCTTTATGGTTAGTCAAAACAGTTATGGCTGCTGTTCCCTCTAAGTTTCCAAAGCTTTCTGTTGTCTTCAGTAAAATTTGTGGTATTCTGATGGATATGCAGATGGTGTAATGGGTAGCAGCTTGGAATGAGGAATCGGAGAGCTGGATCTGTTGGATGTTGCCCTTCCCTGGATTCATGGGGAGGAATTGGCCTACTGCGCTGACCCAATGTGTGTTGGTAGAGGCAGATGTGATATGCTTGGATGATTATATCTCTTTTCAAATCATGATTGCTCAAGTGTATTTGCACATAAGTGAATGTAACAAACATGACAGTAATTTGAAGTTGGCTCACTGATTTCTCCTTACGAGCAGTCATCCATTACAGTACATGCACATGTAAGCTTACAGCACCTGGTATTCCCAAACAGTCCCCCATCTAGGTACTAACCAGGCTCAACGTTGCTTAACTTCGGTGATTGTATGGCATTTAGAAGAAGAATGTAGGATAACCATAAGATATAACGGACATTAAAACAAGTTCTTTATTAAAACTTGTCACATTGCTTAATTCAGATGATTTGACAATAACAAGTGTTTCACTGTAATATGGCTGTAAGCTCTTCATTACATTCACTTATGCACAAATATCCTTGGGAAAGGTATTAATCAATCTCTTCTCCACTGGCTATGAGTTAAATAGTAAGACTTGTATCTGAAAAAATCATTGTTATTCTAAACAAAATTGTTAACCCTAGAACACTAACCATAGGTATATAGTACCCAGCGCAAATTTTCCTATTTTTAATTACAATATTCAGTACCCGATTTTCTTATCTAAATAATGTTTTTCAGTTCCTATTAATGTTAACTCAAAGTACAAGGTTTGAAGTGCCTGCATGTAAAATATTTCAAATAAAGATTTATATTTAATATTTTTTTTGATATTTTCAAAATCGGGTATGATATACCCATGGTTAGTAGTGGTGTAACTTTAATTGATGGTTAGTGTTCTAGGGTTAATACAAAATTAATTTGCAGAAAAATAATTATCCTTCCAATCCAACATATCTTTTAGCTTTAAATTCAAATTTAATCTGTAAAGGTAAAAAAAAAAAAATCAACCAAACATTTCTTTGGGGAAGTTTAAGCTAAACACTTTAATCCACTGCTAGAGGTGATTAATATTAATTATTTTGGCAATATTTAACCTTTGTGCTCGTAAAAGAACAGTTATTCTCTTGACTTTGCTATTATTGTATACACATTTAACATCAGCAATGTTTGTTACAAAAAGTAATGATTAGAAATTTAATAAAACCCAAACATGAAAGTGGATTTATATATTTTCTTTATTCTTGAGAAATGACAAAGATATTAAACACTATTTATTAGATTGCTTATTTACAAGAATACGTTTATTGCTGAAACCTGATGAGTGGACTGAATAACAAAATAGTTTGTCTACGTTACTCTGAAGTTGGGGTACTGAATATAACATCAGTCAGCTAAGTAACAAATGTTATATTTTTATTAAACACACATACATATATATATATATATATATATATATATATATATATGTGTGTGTGTGTGTAATTAGGAAAGCAGCTAATTCCACTACCTTGATTTCTTTTGAGTTCATTTGTAGTGAGATAAAAAGAACGTGTATATTTCATTTAATCCCCCACCGATACATTTTCAATACACATGGCACAGTGGATAAAGGTGTTAGATCCAGTGACAGGACCCAGAGAGTGTGAGTTCAGTACCTGGTTAAGTCGGTGGAGAATTTGGAGAGAGAATTAAGCAGGAGATAACTGATAACTGACATCCATTAGACATGGCACGTGGAACTAGAACAGTCTACCCAGTGAGTGAAATAAAGGGTTTAGTTCGACATTCCAACCACCTGAAGAAGGCTGGAGTATACAACAGCCAAAACATGGTAATAAATATGGCAACAAAGATAAGGACAGTAGTCCGAATAATGTAAATAGTGTACATAATACCTTATCACAGAAATATAGACAGATATTGATTTTTTTTGGCCCTCCTCCTCACCTTCAGCCACACTTCACATTGTGTGCTTAGTCATTATTTTTTTTTTTTTTTTTTTTTTTTTTTAAATAAAGCATTAGGAAATCAATTGACCGAAATCACCTGATGATACCAAAAGGTTGAAACCAATGTAGCGGGATCGGCTGATCTCCTAATTTTCTATACATAAAAGCTCTCCATGTTAAATTCTTATCTTTTTATGTGTATTGACCACTTTTTTAATACTACTGTTTCCTGGTCTAATTCAACCTTGACTATTAATTTCTTTATATATATATATAATGAAACATTTATTTACCATTTTTATGAAGGAATAACTATGAAAAGAATTATTTTTATTCATAAAAATGTCTTTGATTAAGAATATTTAAATAAACACATAACAATGAATAGCTAATTATAAATTTTGAAAAAATGCATTTTCCAATCATTTCTTTAATTTTCTCTCACCATATAAATTCACTAAAATTCATCTCTTCCACTTACATATTTTGTTAAATTTGTAAATCTTTTTATAAATTTTTGAATAAAAAAATTTCTTTTTAGATTTCTCTTTTTTTTTTTTTCTTTTTTTTTTAATAAAATAATAAATATTGCATCATACTTGGTTCACATATTTTTATCTTAACATTGCCTAGGGAGTCAAAAGGGCATATAGTAATAACAGTGCCAAAGGAATAAATGCCCCCCTTTTTTTTTTTTTGTCTGTGCGTGCAGACACAAAGGTTATTAATTACTATTAATTCTTAATGTTTGAAGTTTCATTCTTAGATCAAACATTGTGACTATAACAGCTAAAGTGGTCTGAATAGATTAATATGTCATAATAATAGTCCTTAATCTCAAAAATTCACACTTGTTAATATTTGAACTGTTAAAAACACTTATTACTAGTATGATTACAAGTAGGTATAAAGAAATGTTGAAAAGCTCTAAATCAGACCCACTTGCCAAAATCTAATGAAATGATCTTTTTTTTTTTTTTTTTGACTTATTCATGAGAGCAAAATCCTTGATATATTATTTTTGATTTTTTTTTTTTTTTTTTTTTTTTTTTTGTATAATCATTTCACCCTAAGTAAGGGGCAATAAAGCCACTAAAATGCATTTTCTGGACATTCTTTCATTTACTCTTGCCATATTCACTAAAATAGATTTGAGAGTGTTTCTTAGATTTTTTTTTTTATCCATTCACCTCAAGCAAGATGATAATGCTCTTAAGATGTAAGAGAGAAATAGAATGAAAAGAAGGAACCGGAAATCCAATCCTGAACAAGGGGATAAACAAAAGCTCTACTCCTGTTCAAAAGGCCAGGGATTAGTATGAACCAGACTTTATGAAATGGTAAATCATAAATATCGTATTGTACTTGGTTCATATTTTTTTAATCTTGTAAGTAAACATTGCCAATGGAGCCAAAATGTGTAATAATACACTAATAGCAGTGTTAGTAACCATCCTTTTTGAAACATTGTGTGTCCAATTGATCAAAACTCAAAAGTGACTGAATAAGAATGACTCTTCTCAAAATTAAGTTCTTTTTATGACTGTTGTTTTGTGCTTGTTTTACTTTTAATTTTTAAAAGGTATGAGGATGTTTTAAAAAAAAACCCAAAAAATTGAATTGTTACTGAGTGGAAATGTTCCAATAATAAAAGGCAAAAAAATTGTCTTTTAGCTTTTAACAAAGATTTTTTTGTTTTTTATTTATACACTTTTTATTTTTAAATTTATATTAGAGATCGCCATGCCCATATGCATAAGTATGCATTTGTCGCTCCCCACATTAAAACGACCTTGTGCCACATCCAGCCTTGGCAGTGAAGCTGGGTAAATATACCTACCACTATTAAGTAGGTTTGGTTAGGTATTACTATGTTTGTCAGAAATTACAAAAAATTAACTAGCATCAGTTTCATTATCATTATAGCAATTTTATTTAATTATCTATTTATTATTATTCCGATATAAATTATTATTATTACTCCTCCATTTTCCTTAGTTTCTATCTTGCTTTTTAATGTGTGCCAGACATGATGGCTATGTCTTCTTCATTGACCTTTTTATTTCTGAAAAGGTTTTAATTTAACATGGTGGGCTTTTTCTAGCTTTCAACAAGACTTCTAGTCCCTTATTTCTCCTCTGGTTAAAAAAACAAAATGTCTAATGAATGTAAATCTTCATAGACCTTTTTAGTAATTTCATCCTTATCATTTAAGTACACTATATGACCTTTGAGGTTGTCTACTTTCTCCCTCCTCCTCCTCTCCCTCACTTTTCTCTTTTTTACACCCTTCACTCCTCTCTCTTCCTTCTCTCTTTTTCATTCTTCAAAATAGCATAAAGAAGACCATGATTTTTTTTTTTTTGCAATAATGATAATGTATTTTTCTCAAAGGAGAAGGAAAAAAAAAATTTTTTAAATCTTTAACAAAACCTGAGTAAACCACACAGGTGTAACATTTTAAATGGATCCGACACTTGAGATATACAGTGACTAAAATTTTCCCCCACCCTTTGGGAAGATTTCTACGGAAGGTGTGTTGAGAAAATAGACATTATTCAAGCAATGTAATTATCAAACAGAAAATATTTCAAAGATATGACACTCCTAAACAATAGCATGCATTATACAAGCCATAGATTTTTTGCAAGAAATCTTATGAGTAGTCATTCATTACTATAATGAAGGCATTGTGGCCAAATAATATCTCTTCCATGTCACTGCACACACAAACAATTTGCTTTTATGGGCATTATCAATGAATATGAATTGAAAACCTCAATTAAGCACAACTGTAAATCAGTCATCTATAAATATCTGTCTTAGTTTATATATTCTCTGTTAATTTGTTTAAGACAGAGGGTAATAGTACTACAGTGTAGAACCTTGTTCATCTGCCTAACATTAGCATTTGAAATCCTAACTTTAACTACAAAAAACACTTTTACCATCAAAATTTTTATTATTAAGAGGAATGACCAAAATATTAGTAAATTTTCTAATCCTTTCTAGAACATGGGTGAAAATCCTGTTTTTCTTGTGTCAGCAGGTGAGCCAAAGATTAATATTAGGAATTTTACTGTTAGATTTTTTTGGTCCTTTTTGCGGTGTGAAAAAAAAATCTTGGAAATTCTTGCATTTTAATTAAGCGTCTCTCTATTTTAATTAATTAAACGTCTCTTGATACTCCATCTCCTTATTGCTTTTATACCTTTTTCTCTCTTTCAGCTAGAAGTCTCAAAGATAAATGTAGCAATCCTACATCCAGTGTGACAGACTGTCTTTGCTCTTAGTATTTCTCGAACATTCTAGGCTTTGTTTGAGTTTGGAGAATGTTGGTGCATTCTGGGTTGTTTGTTTGTTTTTTGTTTTTTTTTATGCTTAAATGGCATAGTAAATATGTGTATATGACTTCCCATACCC